ATTCTCATGCTCCCCTGATACTTTTTTGAAAATTTCAAATTTTTCAAATTTCAGTGAATACCTCCTCGATTTTCATGCTCCCCTGATACTTTTTTTAAAATTTTGAATTTTCAAATTTCAGTGAATACCTCCTCAATTTTCTTGTTCCCCTGATACCTTTCCAAAAATTTCGAATTTTCACATTTGAGGGAATGCTTCCTCAATGGTCATGCTCTCCTGACACTTTTTCAAAAATTTAGAATTTTCAAATTTCAGTGAATACCTCCTCGATTCTCATGGTCCCCTGATACTTTTTTGAAAATTTCGAATTTTCACATTTGAGGGAATGCTTCCTCAATTGTCATGCTCTCCTGACACTTTTTCAAAAATTTGGAATTTTCAAATTTCAGTGAATACCTCCCCGATTTTCATGCTCCCCTGATACTTTTTTGGAAATTTCGAATTTTTCAATTTCAGTGAATACCTGCTCGATTTTCATGCTCCTCTGATACTTTTCGAAAAATTTCAAAATTTCAAAATTCAGTGAATACCTCTTCCATTTTTACGCTCCTCTGATACTTTTTTGAAAATTTTTCATTTTTCAATTTCAGTGAATACCAATTGCGTAACACATAAAATAAAATTCACCCAGTTAACTGGTCCCTCTGACAGCGGGACTGCTACTGAGGCAGTTACCGCAGTACTACGATGCCGCTGGGGTCACTCAAACCCCTAGAACTGAGCCTCTACTTCAGTCAACCCTCTTTGCAAGTACCGATGAGCGAGAGGTTGCTAATAAAGTAAACGCCTGTACCGACATGGTTTTTGCTGTGGTTTCCCATGTCACTCCTATGTTCCATAGGAAAGTGAATACGGTACAGTGTAGAATCCACAGCCGCATGCATAGGGTGAGATAGGGCCAATTAGCCAGAACAGGGTAGAAAGGGCGGGAATATATATATATATATATATACATATATATAAATTGTGTTGCAGGTCGAGATATGGACCGATAACATTTGACATTCCATTTTGATTCTATGTTGTTATTGACTACTAAATGGATTTTTTTGTCTCATTATACATTTTTTTATAAACACGTTACATTTTTTGGAATCAATATCTCGATCTGCCACCCTTAAAAGACTTTTTCTCATTTTTCTTACTACTTGTTTACAATAATTGGAGTGATTTCCGCAACATAATTTGAAATCTAAATTTAGAAATACGTTGCACTAATAAGGTGAAATATGGATTTTGAGTATAAACTTGATGTATATTGCTAAACAGCCTCTAAAATATGGTAATGCTATGAATTTGTAGTGTTGTTGTGTCATTACTTGTGTGGTGAGTAATTATGAAAGAAATTATCGAACAACTTGCGACGATATATTTTTTCGGATTTTCCTGCGTGATCACGCGATACATACAAAATATTCTCTTTTAATTCCATTACTTTGAATCAAATTGAATCGTTATTCTTTCCAAACGGAAAATAGCCGCGGAAGCAATGAAATTCCAATGTAATTTTGTTGTATTCCATTTGTTTTGTGGCATACTCTGTGATTTTTATCTCTCTCGGTGGTACTCAAATTTAACACGCAGTAAAGACAAATTACATTTCCATCCTGAATTTCTTGGAATGAAGAGAACTCAATTCTCACTGGAATTCTTAAAAAGCAATAAAACATGTTGAACATGTGTCCATAAAACAGACATTTTGTAAGAGCTGCCATCAAACGAAATTTCTTTGCTGTTTGTATCATCTCCTTTATGAAGACTTTTCCCTTGTATTTTCTATGTAAAAATGACTTCCACATCAGAAGAGACACTTCCCTTTGTCTCCTCAGTACTATTTGGAATATGCATACATGATTGTTTCTTCCCATTGCAATAATTTATAACATTCATGGTTGGACATGAATATTGATATCAATATTCTCTACTCTCCATTCCACCGGAAAACCTTCTTCACATTCAATATTTCAGTGAGCAATTGATTTCAAAATATTTTCAAGGCAATTTTATTAATGAATTCGATGACTTAACTGGTTAGAGATGTTTGAATGATCTGTATCATATTGTAAGAGATATTTGAATATCTATAAACAATTTATGCAAACAAATTCGATTCGTTTACGCATAACTTATACAATTTTATTATCAAATCAATAAATGGTTGCAAAAGAATTGTGATGAGGCTTCTTCAAAGATTCTTCTTAACTCTCTCATTAACCACTTATTTCTGCGCTGAATAGGTAATCAATTATATTGATCGAAGCTAGCTTGATTTTTTAGACGTAGTATTGAATATTGAGGGAAACTTGGTGCATATCTAAAAAATTAACGGAGGAATTTCATGAGAACAGTTAGATGGACTGATAAGGTATTGAACGCCTTGAGTAAACTATTTCTGAATAGAATACTCGAGCGATTTAAAGTGATTCATTTACATAAAACTTCATTTGTTGAGGTTAAAAAGTTGATTAATCCTTTATAGGTATTGTACGATGGCAAACTATCGAATGCTATCGTTTTCATGTATAATCCAGTGGCCACGGACTCCCAATTGTGTCTCCAAAGTGCACCAAAAGGCAATGTATCTTACTTCGTTCACACGCCTCACGCTCTTATGCTCCAGGTAATTTAACGAAACAAAAATGTCTTCAACAAAAGCAAAATGAATACGACAATAATTAAATTTCCCATTTTTCTCGCAGGACGTCAAAGCAGTTATTACACATTCCATACATAGCACACTGAATTCCATCGGAGGAATTCAGGTGTTATTTCCGTTATTTTCACAATTGGACATGCCTTATGATTGTATAGCACCCAACGACATCAAGCGAGATCCTACCCTATGGTAAAATAAATTTTATTAGTTATTTTCGAATAATGCAGGACGTAGCGAATGTATTAAATTATTTCAAGATATTGATAACTATTTTCTTCATTACTATATTCAATAAATTTTTATTCCAACGCAATGAGAGATTATTAAACAAAACAACAAAAAATTATTAAACAAGTTAGGAATGGCTTTCGAGTGGTTGTTTGTCATCTTTAAAATTCGAAATTAACAAAAATATAGAAACGGATATAGAAATATATATAATATAGAAACAAAAAAACTGGAGGTCTACTCGTTGCATTTCTCCCATTTATTCTCAGCAAATTTATTTATCACAATTTTCTAATTACTTTCCCGATTATCACTGTGTTTAATAATCTGACAATCAAATAGTTCCCGCATTGCCAATATTGCATCGACGACTGAAACTAAGTACTACAATTATTGATTTGAAGGCACTCTGACCCTTGATGCCCTTGTTACTCTGTAAACATAGAAGATAAGAAGTGTGAATATTCAACGAAATTTTCACGACACCCTCAATTTCTTCTCGCCGTATGAATTTAGTAAATGTAAATATGGCTCTTTCTCAGTTCGAAACTTTTGGGATTCATCTGTGACCTCGTAGAAACTTCACAGACAGTGCAGCAGCATATGGTACAAAATCGAGGCTTCCTAGTCATCAGTTTTATGCTCCAACGAGCAAGCAGAGAGCATCTAACCACCGAAGTTCTTGCATCCTTTTTGGAACTCACTAAGCACCTTGTCACCTGCCTCAGTGCTAACAGTGATTTACTATTAAAACAGGTATATTGAGATTCAATTCGTTATCGATTCATCTATATCATTCACTATCTGCTGACACCCCAGATTCTCTTGAACCAATGGAAAATAAAAATGGAGCAATATTTTTTACTAGTTCTCGGTGTGATTTTTTATTAACGAAAAATCGGGCATGTCCTTTCTCTGATGAATTTTGCACCATTTTTTTAGCATTTTTTTTTCAAATTCACAATCTACTGGTTTATGTGACTGCCACAGTGTTATTTTATTCAATTTTATTGCGATTGGATGTCGGCCAAATATGGAATTTTTATGGCCACATCAAAGAGAGAATAAAAAAATAGCAGCATGCAAGGGAGATATGGAACAATGAGCTTTCGAGACCTTGGACCGCATGTAATCTATCGACTTTCTCAAGCTTTCACAGTTTTTCTACATTATTGCACAATATTTTCATCAATGATTCATGTATTCGTCATATGTCTCTTCTCAAAATCATTTATCTATCACTTGCAAGACGAAAAAACATTCAAACATTAGCCATTTACATTAGAAAATTATTTCGATGCGGAGTAATTCAAATTAATCGCATGTTCTTATTCCCCACTTCATAATTCAAATCTCATATCAAATGTCAAGTGAACCAAAAAATATTATCTAAGTACCAAAGTAATCAAAAATTAATCACTCGTAATTGATTAAAAATCTCGCGAATCATCGGGACTCGTCGATTTTTTCATTTTTTTTCTATTCTCAAAACGTATATATCAGAATAATTGACGTGCTTATTTAATTTTCCAATTGTATTATCATGCATTGCAATGAAAAAATCAGCTACAATTACCAGTATTATCGGGCAATTGTAACGTAATTATAATTCCGTTGGAAGTTATGACATTTTGGAATTACAAAGAGGTATGCGATATTTCATGCTAAAATCGCTCAACAGTGTAATAAATTCATAATCACCGAGTCTATTATAAATCACTTGAAATATTGAACCACTTCTCCACTGATTTACTCGCATCAATAATGCAGGGCAAAATGGCCCTACAGATAACACAATTACAATTCAGCAATTTCCCGAATTCACCTCAATTAAATATCCCACTGGAAATTTCACAATTGCATGCGTTTAACATTTAAAATTATTGTTTCGACTACATTAATATCATTGATATCAGTGCAATGTCATCAGTTTTTACGCAAAATTTTGCGAAAATATTTCTCTCATTTTGAAACACTGAGTTTAATTTTAAAAAATAAGAGAAACAAAGCCTGAGGAAAAAGTCGACTAGATTCGGCGTGTCCGAAGAACAGGCAGATCCATGCTGATGCAGTTGTTTTATTTTTCTTTTTTAACGTGGCAGCTGTTGGACCATGTACTGTTTAATCCAGCTCTATGGATTTACACACCAGCTCCAGTGCAAACACGTCTTTATTCATACTTGGCTACGGAGTTTCTCAGCGATACTCAGATTTATTCAAACGTCAGGCGTGTATCAACGGTTCTGCAAACAGTTCATACGCTCAAGTATTACTATTGGGTGGCAAATCCACGAGCTAAAAGTGGAATTACACCGAAGGGAATGGGTGAGAAGTTTTCATTAAAATTCATATAAATGAAGATCTCAGCATTCATTCATTAATTGCATATTCCAATTCTATTCAAATGGATAGCAGTCCATTGTGAATTTTCATTTTATTTAAAAATTAGAACTTTTCATCTGCCGCATTTAATTCGATGGAGAATTAAGCTAATTAGTGGATGGTATTGAATTCAATTGATGAAAGAATACCGAAGGGAAATCTGAAGGCATTTTACTAATTAATTGATTGATTATGTCATTATCCGAATGGAGAATAATTGAGAATGAAATTTTTTTAATATCTGTTTCTATGGAACAATTACATCTCTCTGGAGAGTTTTAGAGTCAAGATCATCATATTAATAACAATTTAAGTTATAGTCATTAGCCTCTATGCCTCAATTACTGGCAATAACAAGTGTATTTCAACTTTGAAAATACATTAAAAAATAATTGGTTTATGTTAAGAGATTAATGAGGGTTTATTGGGCGATTTAAAAAATTTTTTGTTATCAGAAAAATGCATTTACTGTTTGCAATGAGTGATAATAATAATGATATAATGTAGAGAAGACGAAACCAACAGCGGACTTATCGGATCTCAACAAAATTTACCTTCACAGATGGGCCACGACCGCAGCAGAAGGACATCCTGACAATTCGCTCGTACATTCTTCTTTTCCTAAAGCAGCTGATAATGATTGGCAACGGTGTGAAGGACGATGAGCTGCAGAGCATCCTGAATTACCTGACGACAATGCACGAGGATGAGAATCTTCACGACGTTCTGCAGATGCTCATTTCGCTGATGTCAGAGCATCCTTCCTCAATGGTACCAGCATTCGATGCCAAACAGGGAGTTCGCACCATTTTCAAGCTCATGGCTGCTGAAAGCCAACTGATAAGACTCCAAGCACTCAAACTCCTGGGATTTTTCTTGAGTCGTAGCACACACAAGCGCAAATACGATGTCATGAGTCCCCACAACCTCTATACTCTTCTATCAGAGCGTCTCTTACTGAACGAAGAGACTCTACTTCTCCCAACGTATAATGTTCTCTATGAGATCATGACTGAACACATAAGCCAGCATATTCTCTACACGAGACATCCAGAGCCAGAGTCCCACTATCGATTGGAAAATCCCATGATCCTCAAAGTCGTTGCCACACTGATAAGACAATCCAAGCAAACGGAACAGCTGTTGGACGTTAAGAAGTTGTTTCTATCGGATATGACACTTCTCTGTAATAATAATCGAGAAAATCGTCGGACAGTCCTGCAAATGTCCGTCTGGCAGGAGTGGCTCATTGCAATGGCTTATATTCATCCCAAGAATACCGAGGAACAGAAAATATCAGATATGGTTCGTAATTTTTTATTTTCTCTACCCTACCCTAATGTCAGATAATCCATCTATTACAGGGTTTTATTAATATCTTTCAAAGTATGGAAAGAAGGATGTAAGGAAGTCTCTGTGAGCTTACAGGGCTTTTGTGTCTGAGAAAATTGAAAACTAAAGAACGGCTTTAATCAAAATTTCGGTGAAAGTATATTAGAGCTACTTCCATTTCCAACTTATTCCGTTCTATACTTTTTATTATTTTGTGCTATATCCTAAATAGTATACTAAATAGACATTCTTATTATCCGAACTGAGTGGCTATTAATGAATTAAACCTCTTTGAGTCATCTCACTTATTTTGGTGGATATTGATGTGGGTGTAAGGGCACCCCCTATTCCGCTTTCCTTCAAAAAGCAGTTAATCCATAATTAATAAAATAATATTATGAGGTATTTTCGAAAATTCAACGCGTGGCGGAGGTTTTTTTTAAAAAAAGGTTCAAGCCTCACCAGCACTTAACATGACTCAGGGTTCGCGATGAACCCTAAAGGTCGACTTACTCCCTCCAGGTATCTCCATATACCTAACTGAGAGCGACTCAATTTTTATTCTTCCCTTCGTTTTTAATAGTTTTAATATGAGTAATAACTCCGGAACATTGAATTACATGAAGTGCTCCATCATACTATTACCAACATTTCTTTATTTGAAAGGGTCCAACGCACTCTTTACGATGTCATTGGAATTTTTCAATTCCATCGATTTGATCAAGTTTTCAATAATAACATGTAGAGCTTCACCTATCACTTTCTGAAAAATAGTTATTACTTTTGTTATTCTCGCAAATATTCATGTAGGTAATTGATTTTATGGTTCAATGAAACAACGGAAAAATGGAAATTATTGAAAAAATGTGGAATATTGAATATTTTAATCAACAACATCAAACTGATTAGATTCAGTTACATACAGGGTAGTTACAGCTAGGAACTAGTTACAATAAAATATCACGAAAAATGAATCTTTTTGCAGGTATACTCCCTGTTCCGAATGCTCCTTCACCACGCAATCAAGCACGAATACGGTGGCTGGCGAGTGTGGGTGGACACTCTAGCAATTGTCCACTCGAAAGTTTCCTACGAGGAATTTAAACTGCAATTTGCCCAAATGTACGAGCATTACGAGCGTCAGCGTTCCGATAATATAACAGATCCCGAGGTGAGACAACAGAGACCAATCAGCACAATTTCAGGATGGGATCAGCAGCATACCGGAAACAATGGTTACAGCAGACCCTCGGCATGGACAGTTCAGCAATCCCAAGATGTCCAAAGTATCGAGAGAAATTACAAAGATTACGATGGAATCGAGGCTAATGATAGACTCGAGGAATCATGCAGCTGTGACTTAAATTCCATTGACAATACCGAGAGCGATGGTAGCCCATCTATTGTCAAGTCACGAAGTGATAATCTAGCATTGCCATCGAGTGAAGCTGTGTCATTGGACTCGAGATTGAGTGAAAAGCTAGAAGCACCACCAGTTGTTGAGAATCATGTTGAAACACCGACCATCCACGAGGAAGTTAATAGCGAGGCCCTTTCGTTACCAACCACCCACGAAACTAGTGAAGTTGTATCGATTGAGAGCTCTAGTGAGCTTTACAGTGAAGTGCACAAAGTTGAGAGTTCAAGCATTGATTCAGTGGGACAGGAGGGTGACAAGAACGGGGAAATTAACAGGCATGAGCACGTGGACAATGTTATCGTTGATGTCGTCGAGAAAGATGGGGAAGCAGTGACAGTTGATACGACTGTTGCAAATGAAACGATCGATGAAATTAAGGACAACAATATTGAGGTAAACCCAAATGCAATTGCTGATGAGCAAACGGTTCTTGAGGATGCAGCAAAGCAATCGGCAGAGATCGAAAAAACGGCGGAAATAGTCGGCGAAAAGAATGAGACAACCGATACAAATGATAACGACAAGATTACATCGCAAACTGAAAAGATTGAGTTTGAAGCAGATGAGACTGCAGTGCTCCCAGAGATTATAACTTCTAAGATGGACATTACTCTGCAGAACGGAACTGGTGAGATAACATCTAATGAATCAGTGGAGGAGAAAGCAATTCCAGAGACTGAAGAAACAGCTCCAATCGAGGATAAACCTTCAACTGATCAAAAGGAGGAGGCGGAATTACTTGGTAAAGAGCCCGAGCCAGAATCTAGGGATGAAAAGATGCCAGAAGTAGAGAATCCACTCGAAGACAGCGTACAGAAAACAGAAGACTCATCAGTGGTGATGCAATCCGCTGAACCAATAGAATCCACAGAACTAGAGGAGAACATTGAAGATGAGGTGAATCCAGTAGAATTAGCAAACATTCCACATAACAAAGAGGAGAAAGAGGTGATGAATTCTGAAAGCCCTCAGTCTGCTGAATCTCAAACAACTCCTGAGCCTCCGAAGACTCCGAAGACTATTGAGTCTGAGGTTAAAGAGGTCGACAAACAGAATGGTGAGAGTAATGAGATAAAGGAAAACCTACTAAAAGTTAATGAAGTTAATGGTGTGGGAATTGAGGATGAGCTGAAGAATCAAACAGATGATGAGAATGTGAATATTGATTCATCTGACGTCTCTGCGACTGATGCTGTTAATGCTGTCAAGGCTGATGGTACATCTGATGAGGTTAATGCAACTGTTGAAGGTAATGATGATGTCGAGAAGAAAGACGAGGTTGTTAATGATGTGAAAGTAATGGATGGAGGATCGGTGGAGAGTAAAGTCGATATGCCGAATAATAATGACAAAAATGATACTGTTAAAAGTATAAATTGCTCAACTAGCGTAGATGATTGCACCGATGTTACAACTGGAGAGATTGAAGCTGAGGTTGATACATTAAAATTGGTAGAGAGTAGTATTGTCAATGGTGAGTGCAAAGCTGATGGTGATGTACTTGATAATGATGAGAACAGTTCTGAGAATGACACGAGAGAGCCGTCCAATATTTCTACTAGTATAAGTGATAATCCAGATACATCAGTGCGTACTGACGAGGTAGAAGTAAATGATAGTGTTACTAATAGTATTGATGTTCAAAAAACTGTAGATAACACGACGCAAGTGCCAAATAAGACCCAAATACCAACAATATCAACGGTCTGTGATGAAACTAAAAATATACATGATGGTGTGCCTCAAAACATTAGTCGTAATGGAGATGAATTGGACAATCCACTGGTTAATGATACGAGTTGTAAGAATGGACAGCATGATGTACATCGTAGAGCGAGTTTACCCAATGTTGGAACTGATAATTGTGGTGAGGGAGATGGAGAGACGCAGTTGCCGGTTCCCAGGAAAAATTCTTCACCCCAGAAAAGACCAAGGAGTGCCTCAACTTCCACACAGGTGGATCCAAATCATTTTGGTACGTTTTCTCTATCGAGATTTATAGTTCAGGACTCAAGGAGTCAAAAATAAAAGTTAGATATTGTGCGCCTTGGGCCAAAGCTCCATCTGCTAATTTAGCAAGCGGTTTTTAGGCAGAGTTTACTTTTAAAAAAGTCTTATACAATAATTATTTATAAAGCAATGATAGGATTTGTGAGAGTCAAATTCTGGGTCAAATTTTCCGACTAATTAAAGAAGGTGGTGATAGAACCTCTTTGCGGAATTTCAGGCTGTTATTACGATAACCGAATAAATAATCAACTATGAATTCGAAGTGACTTATCCAAAATTTCTCACTGCTTCGCTTCTCGATTTTTCTTGTCTAATTCATGAACAAACATTCAGTCATCTGAAAGATTCATTAAGAGAGAATATGAAAAATTTGTTGGAGAATTTTCGAGCTGTAGACAGTGAAGTGAGGAGATTTGCAATTCAAAGAAGTGCTTCTGCATGGCAAATTTAAGAGATAGCTGAAGAATATTTGAAATTCTCTTTCAGTTGAATCCTCTGTCACCAGAAAACGAGGATTTAAAGGGCCATAATTGACTTGAGTATTTGACTTCCATCTTCTAATGAGTGAAATTTTATTTCAGAGTCAAAACGATCAAAACCGGGAAATCCGTCGACGAGACCAATGTTCAGTCCAGGCCCCAGCAGACCTCCGTTCAGAATACCAGAGTTCAAGTGGTCGTACATACACCAGAGATTGCTCTCTGATGTATTATTCTCCCTGGAGACTGACATTCAAGTTTGGAGAAGTCACTCAACGAAATCAGTCCTGGACTTTGTTAATAGCAGTGAGAATGCTATTTTCGTCGTCAACACTGTTCACCTGATTTCACAACTCGCGGATAATTTGATCATTGCTTGTGGAGGGCTACTGCCACTTTTGGCATCCGCAACTTCACCAAACGTAAGTTAATCACAGGTCACTAGTAGCAAAACTGCTAACAAATTGGACGTTAATTAATCAGCGGTGAAAGCGAATGAGTCTAGTATTAATTTCTACAATAATTGACAAAAGCTCAGGGGAATAAAGTTTTGAATAAAAATGAATTGAATGAATCCTGAAGATAGTAAAAAAAAATAAGAAAATGGAGAAAGAATTATATCTTCAAAATGAGCTGTCAAAATCTTAAATAATAAAAAACTAGCGATACGCTAAGATCATCTGAAAAATTATATATATTGCGATGACATTGATCTCCTAATTAAAGTAGAATATTTGGGGACAGGCCCAGAATTCAAATATTTGCAAAGTACGAATTTTGAGCAATCTTTCTCATAAATTGAGATAACGGTTATTACTATTATTTCTGTAATAATCATTTGATCTTGCGTAATTTCCAGTATGTAATTTATTAATCTTAATTGTAAATTTTGAACTATTTCTTTCAGAGCGAATTGGATGTCATTGAACCAACTCAGGGTATGCCCATAGAAGTAGCGGTGTCTTTCCTCCAAAGGCTAGTGAATATGGCTGATGTACTTATATTCGCAAGTTCCTTAAATTTCGGCGAATTGGAGGCTGAGAAAAACATGTCTAGTGGTGGAATTCTCCGACAATGTCTTCGTCTGGTTTGTATTTACCCGTAGACCCTAGCAAACAGTCATTGGTATTTATCATATGATGTCACGTCAGTGCACAAGACAGTTTATACATAATCAAATAGCCGCCTTAATAGCAAAGGCGCGTAAGTGCCTTTTTTTTCATATGAGAGTATATTTTTTTCCTCTTGAAACAGTGTTTTTACCTCTGTAGAGTATTTTTCTACTAGAATTTTTGAATTTGGAATAAAAATTCAACTCTCAATGCTCAACATTAAGTTAATAATTCCACCGAAAGGGTGTATCATCACTTTTGGAATTCGTTGGGAAATTTGAACCCAAAGGAAGAACCAGATTTAATCAGAAAAAATGGCCCTCAAACAATCCCATTCACGTTTTCCCGATTTTTTTTGAAGTAGAGGTTTATAAATTGTTATAAAAACTTATAGACAACCTTTCGACTCGAACTCTCTAGAAAATCCAGTCCAAATTGAGAGAAAATTGACGTCAGGAAATTATGCTTTTGAAGTATATGAAATATGACGGTTAATCTTATATACTCTGCTCATGAGAATATACATACGATTTTTCCATTCAACATAATAAAAATATTACTCTCAAAAATTTATGTTTAGATGTTTGAAAATTATCTGAAATACGACTTCTTGGTCTAAATTTCCTGAGAGAACCTAAGAAAAAGGATTCGTTAAGTTATATTTAGATCATTTAGAATGATTGGAAACGTCGAGATTTTTGATTTCCCGAAAAAGATTGATGCCCTTTTGAGTTGATACTACTTCGAATATCCCAGCGAATTAAAAAATATAGTAATATAACCTTTTGGTGGAAGGCATCAAAATTTTTCATCAACAATTTCGGAATTTCACTCCCAATTCTTAATATGAAAAGAAGAATTTGTGGTTCTCGTTAAAAAATTATACGAAACGTCCGAAAAATATGAACAAAGAAGACATGCTCCTCTCATTTGAAAAAAGAAGAGTTTCGGCACATCCAAATTTCTATTATTAAAGCGACAATATTATCTTGTATTCCGTGATTAGTTAACCGCCAGAATAGTGAATTGGACACTTCACATCACACGAAACATGAACCTACATCTGCTCGCGACAAAATTCTCTACAAAATTAAATAATTAAATAGACATACTGGAGTGTTTTACATTTATTAGATGCATGAGTCATGGATTATTCAATTGGCATACAACTCGCTTAATTGGCACACGTCTAGGTGAATTTAGAAAACCAAAATATCCATTAATTTTTCGGGTCTGAGGAAGCAAGTGCATAATAAAATTGGAGGCAGTGCAGAGAGGAATCAGTAGTACAGCTAAATTTCGTTCATCCACACATAAATACCGCAATTTTTCAATACTCAACATACCGAAATCTATCGCTTGTTTAGGTCTGTACTTGTGCTGTTAGAAACTGCTTAGAGTGTAAAGAACGCGGCAGAACGTACAGCATGTTAGGGCGGCAGATTGGTTCTAGTAATAAATCACAGCACATACAATCCCTTATTCGAGGAGCACAATCGTCGCCAAAGGTATGTGTCTACCATTTCAATAGAAGAATAGAGATCTCTGTATCTATTTATCATAAGTAGAATGCTAGATTTAGCTAAGACATTCTATTCAAATCACTAACGAAGAGGTGCACAAGGATAAGTGCACATTTTCCCCAATATTTCGGGGCTGAAGTAGAATATTCATATTTTCGTAATCATTTTTTTTGCAGCGCTCACCTTTCCCTACAAAAACATGTATTATCTAAAGTATCCCTATCTCCCTTCGATAGCAAATATATATTGCCATATATATTCGCTAAAAACACTAAAAACTGATCTCGAAAAAAATGCATTTATCCTAGTTTACCACTGTTTAACAGATATTATCCCTTTCTGGATTTTTGATGCAATCAGTGGGAGGTCTGACTGATTTATATTTTTAGAATATTGTGGATAATTTGGCAAGTCAATTGAGCCCAGTTAAGGATCCTGAGAAGCTCCTCCAGGATATGGATGTCAATCGACTGAGAGCTGTTATTTACAGAGATGTCGTGAGTATTTTTTATTATTCAAAAATAACTGTATAGATTTGCTCTTGAGGATTAATTGAACCGATTCATTGATAGGATGAATATATCAATGAATATATTGATTGGGGGTGCTGCTTTTACTTTTATATTTCTTTCGGCAATACGAATTATTGTGATTCAGCAATTGCATGTTGTAATTTTAAAAAAGGGCTTTGAGGGGAGGAAATGGTTTGATTTATATAATTTTGACAAAATTCATAAGATTTTGATTGACATCATAGATTTTCATGTTGTCGTTCACAATAGTGAAGAGGCTAGGACAATTTTAAAATTAACATTGAACTCTAAACTTAAAAATCTCATTAACATTAATCTCCTTTAACGAATTCTGAACGGAAAAAGAAGTGGATTTTTTAATTAAAAATCGCCTATTCATTATGAATTACAGGAAGAAACCAAACAGGCACAGTTTCTGTCTCTGGCTATAGTTTACTTCATCTCTGTACTTATGGTATCGAAATATCGTGACATCCTGGAGCCACCAATATCTCAGAGACCGCCAAGTCCAGTGCAATCAATTCAGACGAATGGTGCCAACATCGGATCCGGCAGTCCATCAGGTGAGACTCCTCCCCAGTTAACAACTACTTAAACTCTAATCTAAAATTGACAATAAACTCCATAATCAAGAAATCGAGATGCTCTCACCATAGACAAAATATCTCTCAATACATATTTTATTATTTATTACTATTATTTATTTAATTCGGTTACAATTATTATTTCAATTCGTATCAATCGATGAACTTAAAAATCATTGACTTACAACAGAATAAATCATTTCTAATTGCTCAAAACTCTTACGTGTCAGATATGTGATTTTTACTATTTATTATAATTATATCAGTTCGTATGTCTTATTTTAGTTGATGAAATTCGATATTTTACGTTTGTTTCGAATTCTTGACTCGAAAAGTGTGATTATAAGCATGGGTAAAGAATTATAAATAATAATAGCATGAAATTTTCAATAATTTCCACCATTGCAAGCACTAACAAATAAAAAATAAATTTAGTAGTCAAGTGGAGTTGCTAAACTACACTGAGAAAAAAACATTTTTTGCCAAATATCCGTTTACTTGAGAGAAGTACTTAATCATTTGTATCCGTCCATATAAAAAGTCCCTTGTTCGCGTTTGTAGGTTTTGAAATATCGACGCTTTCATGTTTGCATTGGAATTATCATTGTTTTTCATTGTTTCTAATGAAAGTAGAATTCTTCCCGCATAGAACTAAACCAGTTAAACCTCATTATCTCAACTAGAACTAGATCATTTTGACTTAAAAAAAAAAAAATATAAAGGCCCTAGTTGTAAAATCCATATGGAGTGCCTTCTAGGGGCTCATTATTATTGGGAGGCAATTATATTATATTAGGTTGATTCCATGTGGGAAAAGGGTTTGAATTCAAGACAATGATCTTCTTGATTTAATTGTTTTCATTGGATATTGCCTTACTCACCATTATATTATCCATCAAATAATTTAACGATCAATTTGTTATTGAAAACGGTCTTATTCTGAATTAAAAAAGTAACCACACGATTTGATACATCGTTGTGGTGTTCAGGGTGAGTTTAAATTGCAATCTCAATACTTTTAAAGTAGAAATTTCGACTTGGAAAGTTCTCGTTTGACCCAAAATTTCCGGAATTTCACCAGGAATTCACCCATATCGCGATATACATCTATACTGTCTTTCTCCGGTCTAGTCTTTTCCAAAGCATCTCCATTAAATTGCAATTGCAACAATTGTGCCGCTCTCGAAAATGATCCTGTCAATTTGTGCTTTGAGTGAATCCTATTTGTAATTAGTAAGATTAAGAAAATCGTGGAAAATTTTTCGAACAAAAACATCGGAAATTAATAACCATCGGAGGAATCCACTGAAGGTTATAATCATCGTCGAGAGAAACATGATTATGATAATTAAAATCTAATCAGGATCGTCTCCAGATGCCTCGACTCAGCTATAATGAATATTTGGCAAAAATAATTTTTTCTTGGTGTAGGCAGAACAAGTTGTATTTTAATGTAAAATTATCTCGATAATGAGAGATTTTAATGGGAATGCCACGAGATCTTTTCTATTAATCATTTAGAAAACTCATCTTCTGACATTCCTTTATAAAATAACTCCTATCCAAGATAAATGAATAATCTTTGAAGATGTTAAATTCAACTTGTTGTGTTCGACTTCACTGGAGAATCCGTAATTGTTTCTCGTAAAAAAATCCATATTTTAATATATTTGTGCTATTTGTCAACAGAAATAGACTAGAATTAGATGCAGAGGATTAAATATTTCATTGGAGGACTGATTTAAATATGAAATCGATTCAGAATTAATTTTAATTGAGTATAATTGAATGGTTAATGTGTCTTAATATTAGGTAATTAAATTGATGGAAAGAGGTAGATTCTGTCGGGGATTGTGGATAGATTTATTTAGATGCCGACTGAAGACAAATATTGAATACTACCTCGTAGCAATGGAATAAGCATGTGTGGTTGCACTGGTGTAGACGTAATTATCTTGATTGAATGTATCTGACAGTGAGAGTTTTGATGTCTGTCGAATGTGTGCACATCAATTAATGCTAGACACATCTCACTTCTCAATCACTTTTTCATTCTCGGTTTTCAATTTTGCATTTTTCTTTATTTGATCTATTCTTTTTCTCATGTTCATTCTTTCATTTCATTTTTCCATCTGTGTGGAAATGAATTATGGGATTTTTTTTACGCATTTTTCCTCAGTTCCGTTTTCAGTTTTTTTAATTTTTATGTTCCCATGCAAATTGTTGGAGAGAGGCATATTGTGGAAGTGTGAAGTGACCCATTCGTTGAAAATATTATCACAATTGATTCAAATAAATGTTGAATTGCGGGGAAAATAAGTTGATCGTTTTTCAATTTATTCGTTCAGGCTATCTCCTGCTCTTCTGAATACGGAATAGTATCAGAAAAACTATTTATTCAGTAGTTTTTTTATTATCCACATTTAGTGGAGATCCGGGCATAACGGGACACAGGGTAAAGTGTAATATTAGAAGATTCAGTGGGAGATGAGAGATAATCGATCATAAGCAGTGATTACTCAACACTTCAATTTTTCCAGAATTTTATTACAACTAACAAAAAAAATGTTGAATTCCTACAAGTCATAGTGTTCTCTTCCTATATGTTTCGAGTTCATTAAAATCTTTTGCTGCTACTTCTTGGTCTGCTACTAGGCCTGACACTCTTTTCTTCTTCTTTTCAATTAAGTTATAATTGAAAGAAAGAATTAATTTTCCAAGAACATACTGGCCCACTTTTCAACTGTCTCTAACATTTTTTGGCGAAAAAAGTGACTGAAGATGAGTTTAAATTGCTTTTCCGCGTTCGTCTCATTTCACCCAGTACCCCGTTTATCCTAGAGGTTCCACTTTGCCTGGGTCTCCCCTAGGATATGCCAACAGCAAATGGGAATTCCATAGATACACGTAATATAATAAGAATAACAATATATGGGTTGGCACTTTGTTCAGTAAACAAAATGTTCAAAATGTTGAAATTAAAATCGAAATGGGGATGATTTTGAGTAACATTACAAGTATCATAATAAATATTGAAACCAGTAATAGTATCGTTCAACGTATTGCATTTTTTTAATGAGGATTGTTATAACTAATTACTTACACCACGCTATGCGTGGTATAATAATAATAATAATAATACTTCCCCCACATCTAGATGTGCTGCTGTCACATGCCTTTAGCTCCCGTCCATACAAGGAAAAATAGAAGCTCCCAATTGGCCTATCCAAAATGTTAATAATTTACTAATTACTGAATAAATAATTTTTTCATATGCCATTTCTGTTATAAACTGTTGGATGACATTAATCAATGCTCCGGCTATAACATTCGGCCATTACAAACTGAAAATTATTATAAACCTAAACAAAAATAGATTTTTCATCTTCTCTTAAATCATAAACTCTATTGACTGCATTGTTTTCAATATAAGTTATAAATTATTGATGTTAATCAATTAGTAAAAGGATGGATCATTAAAGCAAGTAATACGTGTAGTACAATACTTTTGGTTATAAAAGTTGAATGTGTCCGGAATTTTTTCCATGAAATTTTATCGAAGAATTCGTAATTTCATTCCGTAAACATCAATGTTCAATTCAATACAAATTGTCGTTTTTCTGTTCTTTGCTCTTAACTACGAAAAAAAGCAGATAGGATTATTATTTAAACTAATCCTTTAGATAAAAAAGGAATTATTATTTTAGGAACGTTCGTGGGGAGAAATAATTATTGAAATTACATATCTTTTCTGTAAATCCGAAATAAATTGAGGATTAGAACAATTTTACGGAACTGTTACTCAATGTTTTCGCGGAGTTCCGTAATTTGTTTCTGAATTTCCAGTAACAAAATACAATACTACAGTTAAAATTTTCTGAATCGGTGAGCCTTCTATAATTTCCACTGAATATTTCTATTAGTATACTTGACACAATTAAGATATTGCATAGAATTTTTGTATTGTCGTCACTGAAACGGCAATAAACAATAATAGATACGTACTTTGTTAAAAATGGTCATTTCCCGAAAACTTGGGGTTAAATATAAATTACTTATTTGATGGAAAAAGTTTTTAGTTTTTCACACGAAAATTTTTCATGCGAAACCCTAACTATTAGTAAAAAAAAAGACAAAGATTAAGTTGTAATGTATGGGTCACCTCGCAGTTGAGAATGTTGAATACACACGAATGAAAAAAATGATTTCTGCTAAGAAAATTTATTTTGATCAAGTACATTCTCAGATTTTTGCTAAGTAAATGAAATTATTTGTTTTATTTACCGATAATCCGGAGTAAGAAATTATATTATTTTACATTTCAGCGCGTTTCTTGCGTGTCATTTGTCATTTCCTGCAGTCTGAAGTATTAAATAACGTACGCTACTCGGGGGTAATAATATGTAGTAAAAACAAAATTAACCCCCTCGAAGCGTAAAATACTTTTCTTTTATTCTTGCTAAGGTTTTATTTGTGTCAAGAACAGTCATATCCTTTCAGAATATCTTACGGTTTCAATTGAATAGCGTGCAGTTGAAGTGTACTTTATTGTTTCATTGCAATGGTAAGAAATTACGAGTGAATATCGTAATTTTATGCATAAATAAAGGAGAAATCCTAAACCCATTGCTGTCACTCGGAGTTCCGTGGAAAAAATTCAAGATTATTCTAATTAGTTCAAGAGTAAAATTGAGAGTAAAATGAAAGAATTGTTTGAATTGTTTGAACTGTATTGAAAAAATATATTATTACATTATTACAAATTACATTATTTATATAAAAAGAACTGACCTTCAAGTTTGATTAATCATGGAGTGAAATGAAGAATAAAATGACGGGATTTTTTAAATTATGGTAGAAACATTAAAATTGATACCAATTTCTTGTTTTAAGTATAATTTTGTTAATTTCGTTTTTAGATAGTTTTTGAATTGCTCTGACAACTCAAAAAGAGACAACAACAACATCTCAAATAAAAGTTTAATCTAATGGCCAAATCGATAGATCAAATAAAACCCAAATAGAAACTGTTCTCCTGCATAAAAATAAATAATCCGAAAAGACGATATCGATAAGAAGAAAACTCAAAGAATAAATTCTATATTGAAGAAACAAATCAATCCCTGAAAGCATAAATTGAGGATAGATGAAGAAGTTCATAAAAGAATTATGAGGTGTAACACTGTAAGCGCAAAGGGTTAAAATTCGCTGGGGGGGAATGAAGCGAATGATTGAATGAACTTGGTAAAAATGTGAAAATTCGATTGTTGAAGAAGTTGAAGTCTTGGCAGAAATATTTTAATTGGATGGAGGATTGGGATTGAAATAGAATAGAGGGTAAATTGTGATAATGGTTATGCATAAATGTAATTGCTCAGCAGATGGGAATGGTGGTGGAGGAGGTCGTCCACTATTTCCACAGTGGTCACACCACGTGTATCCTCAGTTCCTTCCGGGTTCACACCCCGCAGCCAATGCCAATGTCAATGCGAACCACCACATCAGTCAGCACCACCACCAGCACCCGCTACCGGCTGCCAGGCACACAAATCGCCAGACCCAATCCGGCTATTATGTCCCAAATCATCATAGTAATCATTATAATCATCACCCAAATAATTACAACTATCATCGACACCATTATTATCATCATCACAATAACAACAATCACCATCACTCGCTTCAAAAGCATAATGATCAGCCCCGAAATATCTATCATAGAAACTCCGGTGTCGGTATGCAAGGTAATTTTTCCAACTGCTCGAACAAAACACAAACAATTTCAAAGAGAGAATGTTTTTTTTTTCATTACGGAATGAATATTGTTGGTATATTTACAGAGCACCCCTTCCCTGCGTTGTACCGAGTTGTGAAAATTCTCCTTTCTCGCAGCTTCTTCGATTTAATTCAGTCAACACTGAGAAAATTATTTATTTTTTCAGAATATTCATTTACTTGAGATAAATATTTACGTTTCGAATGTCGTATTTCTCCAGCTGAGATATTTCAGTTACAAATTCATGTGAATTTCGAATTATATGAGTTTGAATTTAATTTCAATCAGGAACAATTATTAAATTTTACATCTATCCTGAATATTCAAGAAAATAGGATTTTTCAATCAGTGTATAAATTTTTATGCTCATTGCGAACATTCAACATCAGATACAATTGAATTCTCATTTGTTAAGATCATTTTCGAGTGCGATGTAATTGTCATATTTGAAAAGTATTGGAGATTCATTGGAGGAGACCTGACTGGAGAAATACGGCAATAAATAATTAAATATTTCTCTAGAGGAAACGAACATAGGGAAAATATTTTTTTTTCTCAGACAAGAAGTGGCTTGATCAATTGGGTATTGCAACGATCGTTTTATTTTCATGTACGAAAAAACTTGATTGAAAAATTGATCTCGTGGATGATTCTGTCATTTCCATTGGAACATTTCGCTATTTCTCTGTCTTGAACAGAAATTCTCAGCTCTTTTCTTATTCGTATAAAAATAGTTAATGCTGTAAATATTACTAAAGATGAATAACATCGCAGTTAGAAATAAAAGACTTCATGTTATAATAGTAAACAAAATAAAAATTTGATTATTTCGTCTGAGGACTTTCAAAGCTAATTATTACTTATTTTAGTAAAGAAGATAAATATTCTAATGTGATATTATTAAAGCTATTTTTGCGACGAGACATTGCGGTGTGATATTTTTATCTTGTGAAATTTAGAGCAACCGCCACTAAAATAAGGATATTTTTATTTTGAAATACTGAAAAAATGTTTTAAAGTGAACATTCCCTCCGAAAAACAGAGAAATCGCAAAATTTTTTACAGAATTTACGAAAACTCAATAAAGTGTAGTAGAAATTCGATATAATTATCTGGAAAATCCATGGGAGTTTTCTATCAAGCTTTTTTCGTATGTAACGATCTCGTTAATGAGTAATGGTAGAACAAAATGTCAGAGGCTTTCTTTTAAAGTTTTACCAGGAGCAATTAGTTCATTTTTATTTCTTAAAATCATACCTCTGTAATTGGCATTCGAAAATAGAGTACTATCAATTTTTCTCTGAATTGGTTTTTCTCATGTTCATTTTCATCTCGAAAAATGTTACATGATAAATGAAAATGATTGAGACCTCATTTGAAGTTTATATAATTAGCTACTGAAAATTTATTTCCGAGGATAATTAATAAAGACATTTGAAGAATTGGATTGTGTGGAATGAGATTTTCTAAATTGGTCTACGGAATTTTGTTTGAAGAATCTCTTCCCTCTGGAACAGAAAATCTTGACATTTTGTTCCTTAGCCACTTATTTTGTCATTTAAGAACTGAATTATCCTTTCATTATTCTGCGATGATATTCAAGTTGTTGTTCATGTTGGTGCCTGAAATCTGATTCCCTAGATGTTCCCCATCGATGTCGTTTTATCCGTTGTTGTGCCTTATCCACAAAATTTAGCCCCCAGTTCAGCCCCCTAAATTATGTTTAGGTATCTCTTATTTCTCATTCATAATTCTATTCCAAACTGATAATCAACAGGATGCAGCTGTTTGAAAACTCACGTTTCGTCAACAGAACCACTATTTTCCACCAATTATTTGATTTGTTGTCTTGAATTTATTGATTTTACCATGTGAGATGATTTTATTTTGCAGCACGAACAGAAATTATTATTTTTTTGTACAGTCTCTGCATGCCGAACTGCGCATAATGATACATCAGCTTCTGCCTAGAAACGTTAAAAAGATAATGAAAAAGATTATTTCCTAATTTTAATACGCCGGGATTGTGATTCTAGGGAGTGGAGGGATCATGAGCCAATCTGGATCCCAGGATGATGGAGAATACGAAGTTATCATAGTGGACGAAAATAATTCATCGATTCTCGCTGATCACGATGTCACATCATCAGGTCCACCCTCCACAAAGGTAAAATCAGTTTCAACTAAAAAAATAAAAATACGTACCTGACATTCCATCCACAATCACTTGTGAGATGAAAAATGAAATTTTTTAAATGCCAGAAGAATTCTACACCTTCCCAATTCTTCACTTCCTAGATCACTAATTATAAGAGTCTCACCAATTTCGCTTTAGATATGCGAGTGGATGGAGCAATTTAATTCACGTCACGTTTAAATGATTAAACTCAGGACAATTGAATTTAATGAAGAGCACAAGCTATGCTTTATCTCCAATTATCATATCATCAGAATGAAAGAAAAAGAGATAATGATTCTCGTAGATTGATTCTAGCACATATATCTGGCATGGATTGCACGTGTTGAAAATCCAGCACGGTCTATCGTGAGTCTAATTATCGAAAAAGAACGATCATCATATATGACACATTGATATTTTAATTAAATAGCTGCGTCTGCGATGTTTAGCATGTGTATCTGCTTATCGATTAATCGATGTTTTGCATTTTCTGGGATAGTCAATTACAATAATGAGATAATGTTATCCTCCATACATAGTTACACTCCTACAGCACGTAGAGTCGATGAAGAGATTGAAAACAAAATTACTTATCCTTCTTCATATTTATTCTCAATAGTCTCCTTATTATTTATCTTTTTATTTTGATTTCGAGGTGACGGTATTGATTTTGCACTTGTCAAGAACAATTTCAGTTATTATTGACAGTTTAAAAATTGAAACAACAGAAAAAGTAACAGAAACGCAATGGCCGATTTATAAAGGGAGAGAAACGTATCTCCAATGAATGAGCTGATTTTGGATAAAATTATTTAACATATTGACTTTAAATAAATTTACTATTACATCGCGTCGGTACATTATATATTGCAGGGTGGAAAGTAATTAATTAATTATGTGTCAAATCAACAGAACCTTTTTATGTTAGCACAAGATTATAGATATTTACTAAAATCCTGTTACATATTTGAACGAATTTCCATCTAATGCAATATTCTTGAAACTCCATAATATGGATACTCCATCAATACATTGAAAATTTGCATAAATTTTCACTGATTATTCCCTTGTAATTCACCGATCTACACAATAAATCTCATTTGTCATAGTGATACTTATCCATGCCTTTTGGAACTATTTATATATATTTACTGGTGGAAAGTAAATATATTTGACAAAAGAAATGGTTTTTCTGAGTTTAGGTTTGAATATAAAGTCATGTAATTAGAGAAGACACTGTCTCTCAGTCTCTGAAAAAAAAATGAGATTGTTGTTATTTAAAGGCCTTAAAAATAATATAATGATGAAATTGTCAATTGAATTTTCGTTTTGTGAGAGCAATGCAGTGCAAAAAAAACCGTCACTTAAACCGTCTCTCTCTTTCTAGCCAATTTGACATTGAATCTTTACTTGTCATACGAAGCATGATAATTTCTATTTTCCGGTACTCTCAACGTTAACCCTCTCTGCTTGCAATGCTATGCGTACTAACTACTGGTTCTGAAGGGAGGTAACAGTGGTGTACCTCGGACGCGGACAATCCTCGAGGATTACGCCTCGTCGGAGCCGACTATCGGCACTTCGACGAGACCCGAGCAAGTCACAAGAAACACCCAGGTAAAATGACAAAAAAAATAACAAAAAGAAAACCTCCAAAACAGAAAAGACCAAATAATAATTCTGAATATCTAACAAACTCCGTTAATTATGTTCGTCATTAAATTGATATGTTGTTACTTTTTGTTCAATCCAACACACCGTGATTCATATCATATTTCATCATTTTTTTTTTATTTCGCTGTGACCGCTTTTGGAATTCGGAAGGCTTACCTTTTCGTTTATTTCTATTATCATAGGAAGACTGCCTATTATATAATAGTAGTGTATCGGTATTTGCATGTTCAACTAAATTGGTCTGTTGTCGAGTTTTGGTTGAGTTGAAGAATTGGAACAAGTCTCATTGAATTTATTATAAATATATATATTTCTTCAATAGGATATAAAAATCTTAAATAGAGATGAACAGTGATTAGAATTTTATAGTTGTAGTATAGAGTGATATTTCGAACATGAAGGGGCTATTCTTTTAATAATATGAAGTAAATATTTCTATTAGGACAAGGTAATGCAATTCAAACTCTGTAGCAAGGAAGATATTGAGTTCAGTATATTTAGAAGAGAATCGCAGAGCGATTTTCTTGTGGAATACTGTATGTACAACGAAAAAAGGTTCTTTGACTCTATTGATTTTCGAGGTATTGTGAAACAATCTGGGATTAAAAAATAAAAACTCTGAACGTTTATATTACACAAATATTCCAAAAAATCCTTAAGTGCGAGTCTACGTCCTGAAATTTTTTGACAAAAAAAATTCCGAAACAATCCTATTCTAAAAGGGACACGCTTGACACAATCGATTATCTCGAAAATCTCGAAATTTTGAAGCCACGATTCCTTATTGGTCCGTTTAAAATGGCGCGAGATTACAAAGTTTCCTATTCTAAAAGGGACAGGCTTAACACAATCGATTATCTCGAAAATCTCGAAATCATGAAGCCACGATTCCTTATTGGTCCGTTTAAAATGGCGCGAGATTACAAAGTTGTAACAGACTTTTGCAGAAATCGTTTCATATTCGCGCGCTGGCGTGCGGTACGGTAACTTAAAAAAAAACAAGCAAAGGAAATAGTTACCATTCAAAATAACCTATTGTATTTATATCAAACTTGATCTATTGTTTAAATTCTATCTTTTTGCACTATATATTATTATAATATAATAATATATTATACATTATATTATAATATATTATATCTTACACTATATTGTACATATATATATTAAAATTTGGGATGGAATTTGTGTTGTGGAACCACTCGACTATTTATAAAATGATAATGAAACGAAAGGGGAAAAATTATTTGAGGATGCTAAATCGAGATATTGATTGACAAGGATCTATCAAGTTATGAAAAAATAATAAAAAATACGCCATTGAGTCGACAGTAATGGTAACTTACGTATTTTTTATTTGTATTTTTTTGTAAACTTCGTAAACTCCTTTCGAACAGTATCACGATTCAGCTCCCTTTAATAATTTTTTATCTTTTTTTTTCATTATTTCTTTACAACCAATCCACTGGTTGTGGCAACATAACTTTCATCCCAAATTTTAATAGATTTTAGGCAAACACGGTAGAATTTAACCGAAAGATCACGTTCGTTAAATTGTTTATTATTGATACGAAAGTAAATGCAAATTATTTAATGAAAAATATCAAATAGCGTATCACATTATCCTTTGAATGAGAAAAATGTGAATACTAATAAAAAATTACACCAAATGAAATGATCGAAGAATAAATGAAAAAATTAAATTCACAAGAAATTAAAAAAAAACCAGATCTGCATAATAGAATTTGTTATATCTAAAAATAATTTCGTACTGACGTTTTTTATTGAACATAATTTGGAACATTTTTTAATAAAATCTCTGCAACTTAAGAAAGATTGCATATTTTTATGACAAACGAATCCGAACTGTTGAATAAAGAACATCAATGTCCAATTTATTAAGTCCTCCAATCGACTCAAAGCATTCCCTTTCATTCAGAATTCTACAATGATTATGAAAAATACGAGAATGGATTACATGAATTGAATAATAGGAAACTGAAAATAATCAGATATATTGAATATTTAAAGTGTGGAAAACTCGCAGATTTCTAGTTTTTCACACGATAAATTTCACAGGATAAAAAAAAGGGATTCGTTATTTTACTCCAAGAATTTCACCTTCCAGATATCTCTGTATAATAAATGATAGCATTATTTATACTACATTTCAAACTTACCTTCTTACTCACTTATAAATTGAATTCTTGCTCCACCAAAGCTCGAAATATAATTTGTTGGACCCTTTATCTCCAGAGCAATGACTCAAGTGAAGAGGCAATGCACCGTTCAAACATCACAGCGGACCCCAGTCCCTCGGACATCACGACAGATAACGAAAATAAGCATAATTCATCAGAAGAAGCGTGGACGGATGTTAATCTCAACGAAGACGGGGACGCAATGCCCATAACAAATGCACGTGAAGATCCACGAAATATTCACAATATGTCACACGTCCACGATCAAGACAGCGAGGGAAATGTCTTGGATCAGGAAAACTTGAGAGATCCAGAGCGAGGAGAGAAACCATCAGCAGAGATTTCGGTTGTGCGTGTGCCAGAACGTTTGTTGGTCAGTTCCTCATCTCCAAGACCTGATGATTTACCAATCAAAGGACTCGTCGAACATTTGCCCATTCCCACACCCTCTAGAGAGGCTTCATTGACTCAGAAACTCGAAATGGCACTGGGATCAGTTTGTCCACTTCTTCGTGAGATCATGGTCGACTTTGCCCCATTTTTGTCAAAGACCCTGGTCGGGTCACATGGACAGGAACTTCTCATGGAGGGGAAAGGTAAATTATTAGGGACTTTATCCTAATTTCTCGGTATTTACATTCGTATGCGTTGCAGAATTTTAAAAGTATTTAAATTCTTGACTTGTACTGGGGAAGAAGTGAGGTGAGGGGAGGATTAGATCGATGGGTTTCTTGGGATGTATTGAATAAGAAAGTGAGAGGGTGGACTTGATGATTTCACTTGGTTTCTCATGCAGGTTTGACGACTTTCAAGAACAGCACGTCTGTTGTGGAACTTGTTATGCTTCTGTGCTCTCAGGAGTGGCAGAATTCATTACAGAAACATGCAGGATTGGCGTTTATCGAACTCATTAATGAGGGGAGGTAAATATTATTCATTCGTTTGAGGGATTCAGATATTTTTCTGAGTGGGAGGTATTGCCAAATGACTTTTCAGATCTTGACACCTGCTCTTTTGTAAACTGGTGGGCATTTTTTATGCCATTGGCAGATGCGAATATTCTCTATTTTTTTCACATTTTATTGTTAAGTGTGAATTTTTTTGCTTGTCCCTACTTATAAGAATATTTTTAAGGCTTTTCATTTCACTCTTAGGCGACTGCTATTACAAATTTTAAAGAAGTGCCAAAAGTCCAATTATGAGGATTACCTCAGGTTTGATTAGTTTCATTTGATTTACCGGTGACTCTTATAATCAGAGCAAGTATTATTGAAGTATCTGTCAAGTTGGGTACTTGGCTGGATCTATTTTATTTTCGCTTTGAATTTTTGAAGTCTTGTAGATTTCGATGACACACTCCAAAAATATTTAATTCAAATCATTCAATTCAATTCATTACAATTTACTTCATTTGAAATATCATAACCAATCAAGAATTAAATAGATTAACATTTACCAGATTTAAATTTTTCCACTTCGGTCCAGCAGTTTTTACATATATGCCTTTAGAGATGAGAAAATCAATTTCTGAGAATTCCAATATTCCAATAGGTAAAAAAAATCAGACTAATAGAATTGAAATTATTGAAAAAAAAAGTAAAATGTAGTAAAACCGTCTCTCTAAAAAATCTGACAAAAATCGAAAGATAACTTTCCAAATTTCCCAACTGTAAAGAAACTGTAGAAAAATCGTAGATATAATTTATTGATATTTCTTTTGATTGATTAATTTTCGTGTGCCCTTCAATAGATTACTGTCTCATGCGATGAAAGACCATATCGTACGCGTTGCAAATGAAGCAGAATTCATTCTGAACAGAATGAGAGCTGATGATGTACTAAAGCACGCAGATTTTGAGGTAATTATAATTTTCCGTTCTCCAAATTCAATCTTTCCTTGATATATGATTAAATTTCACTGAATCTTGTTTCTTTTTCGCAGTCACAATGCGCTCAAACGCTTCTGGACCGTCGAGAAGAGGAGAGAATGTGTGATCACTTGATAACTGCAGCACGAAGACGAGACAATGTCGTTGCAAGTAGATTAATGGAAAAAATTCGTAACATTCTGTCAAATAAGCATGGGGCATGGGGCTACACAGATCCAATGGCTGCCAAGTGAGTATTCTTTATAATTATTCTCGCCCCCTTGAAAATAATTCAGTAGTGGATAGATGTAGAAATTATTAATTTTCCTCTGACATCAGAATAAATTAGAACCACTACATCTATTTTAAGATCATCTTTTAGTTAATAATATCCGTGATTTGAAGGAAGATGATAAAATTGTCATAAATACATTTTTTATGGAAAAGAATACAAGCTACAAAAAATGTATTTATGAAAATGTCACTGTCTTTCTTCTGTTCAAAGATATTTTACAAAAACTGGTCTAAGAAAAGGTTCTTTACCGTCGTTAACCATTTCATAGTAGAACTGAATCGAAGGAAAATTACAATATTAATTTTTATGATTTGAATTTTCGTTTGAAGATCTATTGATCATGATCCAGAAAATATTCCACCAATTAATCTCCAGTAAATAAGAAAATGATCAAAAACTGCCAACATATTCTGATGAACTTGATTTCGTTCGGAATGGTATTTTTTCTTCATTAAATCATCAATTTTCTTTATCAGAGAAAGAAACTGACAAATCAGAATTTAATGGATTTAATTTTTAATTAAAAAATTCGCATCTCTATTGTCATTAAAAATTGATATCTGAACATGAAAAACTCAAGAAATTCGTCGACAACTCACGAAAGATGATCCATCGACTTGCAAACGATTTCTCTTAATTATTTATCGCAACGCGATATCTGGACGAAAGAAATCCAAGTAAAATGAATGATTCTAAAGAATGGTAGCCAATTCGAATTTTGAATAGAATTTCACTATTGAATTCAATAAAATAAATGTAATATTGGCTCATCTCCAATATCAATCATCTTCAACAGCATTAGCTTATCTCTTCACAACTGAATTATTTGAATTCGTTTGCTTGATGCATGCCAAGTGTCACGATACTCACCTTTATCAAAGTCTCGACGAACTTAACAGATTAGCCGAGTACTGGAAGCTAGACGCCTGGGAGGATGATGCAAGACGACGTAAACGTTTTGTACACAATCCCCTTGGATCTAGTCATCCTGAGGCAACATTAAAAGCAGCCCTGGAACATGGTGCCCCTGAGGATGCAATTCTCCAGGCACGAGAGGAGTTTCATGCACACTTGGCAGCATCACGTGCTCATCAGCAACAGTTACAATCCACTGATCTCATGGACGATAGTGAATTACTCTCTGACGATAGAGATCTTGATAGTGACTTGACTGGTACGTCAAATTCAATTATAAATTCATTCATTCCGGCATTTACCACTAGAATAAATAATTATTTTCCATAATTCATTATAAGGTCCAGTTAATATCAGCACCAAGGGAAAACTAGTTGCTCCTGGTATTGTCGCACCTGGAATCATCTCCATAACGTCCACGGAACTTTATTTCGAAGTTGATGAGGAGGATCCTGAATTCAAGAAAATCGACAGTGAGGTAAGTGAAGAATAATTATTTTAATTTATGGAGATTGCATTTGAGATTGTTCGACCCTGCGTCGTTCATTCAAATTTCTATTGAAGTAGATGAAGATGTTGCGAAGATCTGAAACGTTATATCAAGTTTTTAATTCAGTAACGAAAAGGTGACAAGTCTTTGACAGTAACTTATATCTAATATAAAGCGCCATTAAAACTCATGGATATCACTGCAAATTCTTCAATTTATTTGAATTTTCAGTGTTCGATAAATCCTTACTGTTAAACTGCATTGAATTTGCTATAAGATCGCGAATTTCGTGGAATTTTTAGGAAAAAATAAAACAATATTTTACCGTTTGTTTAATTTTTCCATGAAATTCGAAATTTTCCGTCATGGAATGTATCGAAATTTCAGTAGAATTTTCATTTCTTTACTTCGTAAAATTTATCTTCCTACCATCAAACTCAAAATTCAAACTACGCATTTTAAATGATGATACACCTTATAAAAAAATATGCATAAATAATAAGGAATATATTCGCCAAAGAATTACAATCCAAAAATGATTACAAGAAGAAAAAAGAGTTCTGAAATATATTATTTTCCATAAACAAACTAACAATAAATTTTTAAAAGCCGAAAATCTGGCCACTGAAACGTAATAATTCTCCAATTTCGGAAAGTCTTCTCTTTCTGAATTAAAAAAAAAACAGAAAATTTCTATAAATTCGTTTTTATAGCCGACATTTCACTCTACAAAATAGATACTACGAAAAATAGCACTATCTCTACACCATTCCGAGATATTCGTTGCCTTTCCCTTTATTTCTGTGTTGCTGAATTATAATAATTAGAATCATGAGAGCATCACGGAAAAGAGAGTTACAAGAAAAATTGTAACAACCAATAAGTTATGAAATATATCGGGCAAGTCAATCGACTAATTTTTTTAAGGCTCGGGTGGATTATCTAGAAAAGATCATTTACTCCGAAATTCGGATTCCTAATTACTTTGACAATTAACCATTTTTTCCAATAATTGTTAGCTAGCGTCCTAACGGTTGTCAACAACGAGGCCGCTAGCTAACAATTATCGGAAAAAATGATTAATTGACGGAGTAATTAGAAGTCCCAATTTTGGAGTAAATTATCTTTTCCGGAAAGTTCATCCGGGCCTTAAACGAATTATTAGCAATTCGTGCAGTGAGAATTACTCCATGTATAAGCTCAAATCTAGGGAGAGTGATTATCATATATCGGTCGTAGATCTTACGTTTGTAAAACCGAGGAATAAAACAAACAAAGGTAAGGACCCCATGGGGGCCTGGACTGATCTTCAGGGTCGGCAATTATGTGCCTCCTGCAGGGTCCACGTATATCCTTGCATACACAGTCCCTTCCCCTGTCTTTCGGTTCTCCGTTATCTTCACTCTTCTACCTCCCAGAGTATTCAAAGTTCTCTTCTGCCTGCATAACCAGCACTTCACAAATTTCCGGAAGAATCGAGTTAAATTGAATTAAATCAACGGAATTTAACAATAACTTATTAAAAGTTAATATTATTTTTTGCAAGAAGTAACATCAAAGACACTATTCTTATCTCTTTTATGAAATTATTTCAATAGTTAAAGGACTCATGGCTATTCAGTAGTGAAAAGATCAAATGATTCAAGTCGATTTTTGTGAAAAATGAGTCTATTACTGAAATCAACTCTCGAGTGTATGATGCACCCCTCACAGGAAGGCTTCAAGCCTTAAAACATTTCTAATTACTTTTTTGTAATGAAATATAATAGGTCAAGTTGCAACTTCTATTCCAAACGAATTCTGTCAACACACACGACGAGAAAAAAAATAATCATTTGAAAAGGGAATTAAGTAGACATAGCGTGAAACATAATTCGAGTAAATTTACCAAATTTTGAGAAAAAAATGGCTGTAGAATTCTATAGGTGGACCTATTAATATGAATAATTCCATCAGAATCTTTCATTTTGCAATTTGTTTGCATAATTCGGAAAGCGAAAGTATATAAAAGTGCAGTTTAAATGTATTACAATACATCTATTACAAAAATTCCAATTACAAAAAAATTAATTATTTGAATAATTAAAATAACTAAAATAATTGGATTGATTTATACACTGGATGGTTCCAACGAATTGAATTAAAAAAAAAATAAACAATCCCCGAGTTCCAACGTTTCCACAAACTAATTAGTTTTAAAAGATGAATGACTTATAAAAAAAAAACGAATTGCCCCATGCGTTCAGAGTAATGATGGAGCAATATTTTATTCACACAAACAGACAACATGCAAACAAGTCTTCAAAATTTCTGCAGAGCGATTGACAATTCCGAAAAACACGGAAAAATCATGAAAATTCAACATTCAATTTAGAATGAGATGATTAGAATGGCTACCCAATAGATTGGGAAGTTGAAAAAAAGGAATAGGTCGATTCTGGCGTATCCAGACCGGTTCGCAATTTCAATTCAATATCGGCCCCTTCCGCCGCGGCATATCGCTGGATTCGCGATTATTTCAGGCACTCGTTAGTCTCTGAAATAAAAAATTCATGTGTGTAAGAGAGAAAGAGTGAGAGGAAGTAGGATGAAATGAGGCGCCGGGGCTGTTTCGTAGAAAGTTGGGCGATGGATCACTCGATAGTCGAGTCGAGACTTAAGCGATCGTAATGCGCACGCAGGCAGATATACTGAATGGTGGCCCCAGGGGAGAGTCAACGCAAAAAAAAAGTTTACTTGCATCAAGTATATATCCTATACTTTCAATATTTATTATAATATAGTTGTTTCAAGTATCAATACACAATACTTATTTGAGTACATGGATTATGTCCGGAATAAGTATCTTCATATAATTATTTTAAGAATATTTTATGTTTAATTGTAGTATACACCATTTTTGCATGATATTGATGGCCTTTTAACAGTTTTTTGAAGCCGAATTTCGGTCCTTTTGCGTCCGAATGGAAGCATTGCAATCTTTTGATTTATCAATTTTCTAATCTTGCCTGGAAATGATTGAGAACCGTAAAAACATGAAATTTGAGGGCCATGTGTGTGAAACATGAAGGATAAACGGATAAATCAATTGCAAAAAATCTGAATTTTTGTCAGTTCGTAGGTCCTAATATGGAATTGATCTGTGCTACATTTCAGGTCAATCGGTCGAGTAGTTTTCGAGATAGTGGTGATTATTTCTGAATCGTTTTTTGAAGATATTTCATTTCACTATCCACCCGATTTCATTTATTTTTTTGAAATGTTCGTCTCAATGTGCTCTACATAGATCAGATACAGATAAGATATATAGATCTACAAAATATTTTGACACGATCTATCGAATTGGTAAATTTGTTCAAAATTCTCGGAAATTTCTTATGATGAGGTATATGAGTTGGAAATGTTCTTCCTGGAATATTTTTTTGAAAAAAAAAAACAGAAATATTTCGAATATTCAGTATACATATAGATATACAAACATCATTTTCAAAATAATAAAATCCAAAAATCGAACGATTACAAAGCTCAATATAGTTGAAATAAATATACTGATATACTTGATTCGAGGATACTTATTTCCATGTGAATGCATCATTGTATTTTTCGTAATGGAGATACGAGGATCGCATCTCCATCCCCTGTCCCATTCCCACTTACATCCACTCGTCTTTTTCACATTTTATCGCTCATTTATCTCTCTATAATAAGTTGCTTTCTCGATTATCTTTATTTGGTTATTTTCTTGAGATTAAAAAAAAATTTTATTATAATTTTTTTATTTTCTCCTGCTTGTATAGTGGCCGATGCAAACGTATTTGTCGTGATTTATCGTTTACACAAGACCTCTCTCTGGCGAATACGTAAAGATAGCGAATATATTCCGTACGATTACGTGATGGTGAATTATTGATTATCGGTTGAGGGCATTGATAACTAAAGCAAATAATGATACGCGCTTTTTATTTATGGGATTCTTTTGGCATTGTGTGAGGGAGTGCAGAGGGAGAAATTCTCTTGAAAATTTATAATGCCAGCAGCAGAAAAAATCGTCGCCTTTTACCAATACCAGCGAAAATCGGTGTTAGGATTAGAAATTGTAGTGGGTAAAGTTCTTTTTCTTATGAGAAACTTTCCCTCAATAAGAGGTAAAAATTTGGGGGATTGATAGTAGGAGTGCAAAATTTTTTTTGAGCGAATTTTTTGAGTTAATTGATGAGTTAATCAGGAGCAAGAGATTTTGTTTTGTTTCCTATAACTATTTATGGGATTAAACTTTCTTTGGGGTCTCTGGGCCCAATTCTGTAACAAAATGGTAAACTAGGATAGGTACATTTTTTTCAAGGCCTGGTTTCAGTCAATATGTCGAAATTGAAGGAACTTTAGGGTGGATGCAGGTGGAGTGGGTGGAAAGGGTTGTCGTTCAGGTTCAAATAAAAAAGAGCACTGCTCAAATTTTACTAACAAATATATTTTCTTTCTATATTATTAATTAACAATCTTTGGCTTACAACAATGCGATGATGTACACTGATTTTGTTGATGCACGGTATAATTGAATGTTGAGTTTCTCGTGATTTGTTAATTAAAGATGCAGCTAAAAGATTAAAAAGGTTGCGTGCGCTCTTATGGCCCCTTGATTTGGACTCTATTCCGACTGATACGCGAAAGACAAGTGATTTTTGGTTGAGAGTCTCTTCCGGATTTTCCCACTGACCGTTAACCCGAGGTATCACAAAATTTATCGAAATGATCTAAATATCGACCGTGAAATCGCTGGAACGTTGCGCTCTGTTTCAAACACACATTTTTTATAGAACAAGATGAGAGCTACAAAAAGGTATCTATGAAAATGTCATTATCTTTCTTCAATCTCGGGAAATGGGCTACAAATTGGCCTTGGAAAACTGTACTTATCCTATTTTACCACTAAACAATGGAATTGGATTTTTTATTTCAATGCAATTATAGAATAATCGTATTGAGAAAAA